CCGCGGGCTCAGGCAATCCACTCACTTCAGCCTCCCAAAGGCACGGGATTACAGGCGAGCCACCAAGCCTGGCCGTTCTCTCCTTTCAAAAACACATTCTTGGCTGGGCGCAGTGGTTCAGTCTGTAATCCCAGTACTTTGGGAGACCAAGGTGAGAAGATTGCTTGAACCCAGGGGTTCGAGTCCAGCCTGAGCAACTTGATGAGACCTCATCTCTACAATAAATCACAAAAACTAGTCAGGCGTGGTGGTGTGCATCTGTAGTTCCAGCTACTTGGAAGGCGGAGGTGGAAGGATCACCTGAGCCAAGCAGGCTGAGGCTGCAGTGGCCATGAGCGTGCCACTGCACTCCAGCCTGGGTGACAAGAGTGAGACTCCAACTCAAAAAAATAATAAATAAATAAAAATAAAATAAAAAAATAAAAACACATTCTTGGCCAGGCATCGTGGCTCAAGCCTATAAACACAGCATGTTGGGAGACAGAAGCAAAAAAGATTGCCTGAACCTAGGCATTTGAGACCAGCCTAGGCAAATTGGAGAGACCTTATCTTTACAATAAATCAAAAAGTATATCAGCTGGGCATGGTGGCACACATCTGTAGTTCCAGTTACTAGGAAGCCTGAGGTAGAAGGATCTCCTGAACCCAGCAGGTTGAGGCTATGGTGAGCTGTGAATGTACCACTGCACTCCAGCCTGGGTGACAGAGTGAGACTCTGACTATTAAAATACAATTTTTAAAAAAATCTCAAAAACACATTTTTTTGGCTGGGTGTGGTGGCTCATGCCTGTAATCCCAGCACTTGGGGAGGCAGAGGTGAGAGAATTACCTGAGTCCAGGGGTTTGAGACCAGCCTGAGCAACCTGGCAAGACCTCGTCTCTATAATAAATCAAAAAATGAGCTGGGCCTGGTGGCACATGCCTGTAGTTCCAGCTACTTGGAAGGCGGAGGTGGAAGGATCACCTGAGCCCAGCAGGTGAGCTGTGGTGGCCGAGAGCATGCCACTGCATTCCAGCCTGGGCGACAGAGTCAGACTCCAACTCAAAAAAAAAAAAATGTTCTTGTAGCTCTTGGAGAACCCAGCTTCCATTTCTAACTGCCCATTAGCCAAGGCATTTCATGCTACTCTAGGATATTGACACAGCAGGTGACACAAAAGGACACTGCTCATCCCAAGAACACATGCTGTGCTGACAGAGAGAGGTTCCATCCCATGTCAGACACATCCTCCATCCACTCTGGCAATCTCCATTTCCTCAGACCCTCATTTCACTGCACAGATTTCTTCTATGAGACCCAATCTCCTTTTTTGAGTCAGGGTCTCACTCTGTTGCCCAGGCTGGAGTCCAGTGGCATGATCATGGCTCACTGCAGTCCCAACCTCCAGGGCTCAGGCGATCCTTCCACCTCAGCCTCCCAAGCAGCTGGGATTACCGGTGAGAGCCACCATGCCTGACTAAGATCCTATATCTTTTTTTTTTTTGAGTTAGAGTCTTACTCTTGCCCAGGCTGGAGGGCAGTGGCATGCTCCCAGTCACCGCAACCTCTATCTGCTGGGCTCAGGTGATCCTTCCAACTCAGCCTTCCAAGTAGCTGGAACTACAGGCACAGGCCACCATGCCCGGCTAATTTTTTGATATATTGTAGAGATGCGGTCTCGCCAAGTTGCCCAGGCTGGTCTCAAACCCATGGGCTCAGGCAATTCACTCACCTCGGCCTCCCAAAGTGCTGGGATGATAGGCATGAGCCACTGCCCCTGGTCAAGACCCGATATCTTATCCTTCCTCCTCTTCCTCTAGATGCTTCTGCTGTGACCTCTGGCACTCGGTTTCATGATGGACAAGCCTCCCTGCATTCTTATCCTTTTCTGAACACTCCTACACTCCTGTACTAACTGGAACCTGGCTTTTCCCAGAGGGCAGGAGTGAAAGAAGGTGAACCTACTCAGCAGCCCACACCCTCAATCTGCAGCCTTAAAGACAAAATCGATTCCTCCTCAGTCTTCACTGACATCTCCCTATCACTACTCCTCAGATTCTTTATAGACACCAGGCCTCTAATTTTCATTTTGTTTTTATTTTATTTTATTGGAGTCAGAGTCTTACTCCATTGCGCAGGCTAGAGTGCAGTGGCATAATCATGGCTCACTGCAGCCTTGACCTTCTGGGCTCAAGCAATCCTGTAGGCCTATAGAACCCAGGTCTTTACAGACCCCAGGGACAAACTAGAGTTGTTAACCCATCTCCACTTGCCAACAGCCATTACAAAATTGTAGGCCAGGCATGGTTGCTCATGCCTCTCATTTCAGCACTTTGGGAGGTGGAGCCAAGAGAACTGCCTGAGTCCAGGGGTTTGAGACCAGCCTGGGCAACTTGGCAAAAGACCTCATCTCTACAATAAATCAAAAAATGAGCCGGGCGTGGTGGCACATGCCTGTGGTTCCAGCTACTTGGAAGGCTGAGGCGGAAGGCTCACTTGAGCCTAGAAGGTCGAGGCTGCAGTGGCTGTGAATGTGCCACTGTACTCCAACCTGGGCAACAGAGTGAAACTTCAATTAAAAAAAAAAATTTCAAGTTTTCTTGGAAATTGAGGTTTACAGAGGTTAAAGTACAAGCTGTTACGAATACCTAGCTGCAAAGAACACTCATCCCATGGGTCAAATTTTAACTAGGGAAACCACTGCTGCCCAAAAGGTTACTAGAAGTAAATTCAATATCTCTTTAAAGCCTTATTACCAGGGGAGTCTTAGTGAACGATGGGGTCATTCTATGCAGTCGT